GGGGAGGAGGGGGGAGTGGCGCAATGACTTCTTCTTGAGTGTGGAAAGACGGCGACGAAAGAGATATCGCTGAGGGCAATGATAGTCTTTTGCCAATTTAAAGCGAACAGCGGGGCGGGGGAAAGAGAGGTCGGGCATGATGCGTCTCGAAGCCAACTCTGAGAAACACAAAGAATTTTCTGTGAATTGATGCGGGCGGTAGACGGTAATGTGCGGCGGTAACGTCGGCGGTATACAGGAATGTGCGGCGGTATACAGAAATGTGCGGCGGTATGCAGAAATGTGCGGCGGTGTACAGAAATGTGCGGCGGTATGCGCAAATGTGCGGCGGTATACAGAAATGGGCGGCGGTACACAGAAATGGGCGGCGGTAACGTCGTGGCAGTACGCAGTGTTTGAATGTTTGGGCGGGAGGAGCTGCTACTAGTATGATGATGCCAACAAAACAAAATTGGGACTGAGGTGAAAAGTGGGGTCGTGTTTTCGGTTTGTGGATGTCTTGTCACCGCGCTGAAGGAAAAATGGGTGATGGATCCACTTTCATTCCATTTTGCTCTCCTCCCCCCAACAGGGGTATCCGTTTTCCCGCGCTGAGGGGGCGCAGCATTTTCCAAGGCTTAGCGTAATACGGCGGTTCCTCTCTCTGGAGCCTGTCTGACAAAGGGAAGATTCTTTTGCGTTTGTTCTCTCCCGCCATCCCCTCAGCGAGCAGTGAGCCGTGTTTGTCACAAGGGAAGATTCTCTTTCCGTAATTAGTTACAGTAATTCTTTCCCGTCATTGCCTCAGCGACTAGAGGGGCGGGTTTGTAGAGACCGACGGGTGGTGGTCGCCTGCGGACGGGTGGTCGGTCGGTCGCCTGCTGATCTCTCTCTCTGACGACTGAGCGTTTCTGCGCTTTCACTGATCCGTTCTACCCCCCTCCCCTCCTTTCCACCGTCGACGCTCTCCCGTTTTCCCGATTTATTGTGTTAGTCGGAATTGTAGATGCTACTTCTAAATGTGGTTACTTCCCACTGTATTCGCAGTCTGTGGCCTGCTACCTTTTTTTTTTTTTTTTTTTTTTGCCTGCTACTTTGTTCACTGTTTCTGTTAATTCTTTGGGATGTGCGGAGAGGCGGAAACGGTCTTCTAGCGTCTTCGCTGGCTTACCGCTTGTCATTGTTTTTCTCCGCTTGCATGTGCATCTGCATCTGCGCCGTTTTTGTCGGACGTAGTCACGTCATTTTCCACGGAGTGCATGCATGCATGCATTGTTCCTTGTGAACAAGTTCGAATCCAGTTGTCGGACGTAGTCACGTCATTTTTTTCCACGGAGTGCATGCATGCATGCATTTTTCCTTGTTTCACGTTTTTCTCCTCGTTGCATCTGCATCTGCATCTGCATCTGCCTGTCTTTCTTCTTCGCAGACCCAAGTTCGAATCCATTTGCTGTCCGAAGCAAGCATTGTTCTTCGCTGACAATCTATTATTGAGCAAGCATTGTTCTTCGCTGGCAATCTATTATTTGTCTAATTGGAAGCATTGCATCTGGGCTGGTTAGTGCTCCCGTGATCTCCTCCTGGGTCGTTTTGCGCTGTTGTTGGTCTCCTTTGGCTGTGTTAGCTATGGAGAGCGTATGGATGCGGATCGACAATGACGATGTTTGTTTTCCCACTCTCGCATCGCTTGCGCTTCTGAGGTAAAATTATGTGCCCGAAGAGAATCAGGCTGTTGATGCTCTGCCACCGCTCGATGTCTTCGGGCCAATAGACCCATCACCGCCAACAAATCTTTTTTTTTTTTGTTTTTTTGCCACCAACACCAACAAATCTATTTATATATCGGGTTTAACAGAATTGCAACATTCTGAGTTTTCTGGTATTAATAACATTGTAAATTAACTGCGGCACTTGTGTTAACAGGTTTACCCTTGAAAAGTTGGAAATTGAGGGGGGGCTTCGGACCCTGGCAAATGTGTGTTGGTACACCCATGAACTGTTGAAACACAGACCCAAGTTCGAATCCGGATGCAACCAGATGTATATACATCTATGCTTATATATATCTATATCTATATTCATATTTTTTCCTTGTTTTTTTTTTTTTTTTTTTTTTTTTTTTTTTCCCGCCTTTGCGCTCTGATATTCTGGTGACAATATATATTACCGGGCACAGCTCTGTTTGACTACATCACATGTAATTCATTAATGATTAATGTGTGAAGGCCACGAAGTGGGAGAGGCAGGATTCCAACCTACGTAGAAATATAACCTTCAACAGATTTACAGTCTGTCGCCTTTAACCACTCGGCCACTCTCCCAGATTTACAGTCTGTCCCCTTTAACCACTCGGCCACTCTCCCGAGGAATTCAGCGTGCTATAAATATATATTATATATATATATATATAGTTTGTCACAGCCCCTCGTTTGTTGTCCTCTTCTCCCTCTCTGCCTACGGTTTACCGGGCAGTTCTATTTGACGATATATATATACAGGGTTGCCGGCGTTCGGGACGGGCCGAACGCCCGAACGTACAGGACCCCTTCGGAAGGCGTTTGGCCGTTCGGGCCGAACGCGGACCCAAAAAAAAAAACAAAAAAAAAAAAAACAAAAAAAAACAAAAAAACAACAACAAAGTTTTCAAAAAATTCCGCAAAAAACTTATGTTATGGAGAAAAATAAACTAAACAACATGATAAAAATTCTTTACCGAATTTGAATTAAAAATCAAATACAGAAAATAAACACTATGATAAAAATAAGAAAAAATAAAAAGAGAATTAAAATGAGTGTGTGCCAGCACCTTTTTGACACCGCCATCTTTGCCGATTTTTAATTATTTTTTGGCATTGATAAATGCCCTGAAAATTTACAGAGATTTAGTTTACATAACCAATAACTCATTAAATTTTTTTCAAAAGATAATAAATTTGTTTAGGCCCCGAAATACAGTGAAAACAAAAAGTTAAAAGTGAAAAAAAACAAAATAGTGAGTGGGCGAACACGTTTTGACACCCCCATCTTTGACGATTTTTAATGTTTTTTTGGCTTAGCAGAATGGCTTCAAAGTTTATAGGCGTGTAGGTTACATCATAGAAAACTCACAAGCCCCACTGTGCAATTGTGAATCAAAGCTGCCTTCCCGGCCATCAAAACCGAACAAACCAAAAAAGGAAAATAACTCGAACTAAATAAAAGAAAAGAAAAAGGCTATCCTTCATTTACCTATCTGTACTCAAAATACTATGTTGCCTACTTCACTTCCTATCCCATTTCCAACCTGGGGAGTAATTCCTCCCTTCGGTCACCTAAAGTGGTGACCTGTATCAAAGTGACTCTGTCCTCTTTTCTCAGTCCCTCTGCATGCCTCCCACGGCCTGTCTTGGGTTTACCAACCGAGTCTCCTGGTTTGTCTTGGTCTCTTTACTTGAAAAACCAATCATCCAGAATTACCTTGGCTGCTTCCACTTTTGCTAACTTCCTTTCCCTTCCCCATGTGTTCTCAAACCATCTGATACCTTCGTCGGAGTTTCACTGACCTACTCATCAGGAGGCTGAACGATAAATGCGTTCAAGTTCCATTGGTCCTACCAGCTTTTTCGGTAATGTGAGACTCTCCTCAGAATGTTGGAGTTGTTGTTTCCCCTCGTTAGCGTTTTCTGCTATTGATGGATTCACCTCAGAATGTGTATTTCCTTTTCACATAGCTCGTTCTGTCTACCGACTGCTCAAGCTTTCTTCTTTTCTTTTTCGTTTTTTCTCCTTATTCTTATAGTAAGCTTTCTTTCATTTCTCTTCAAAAACGGAAAAAAATAAAGATAAAAAATTGAAAAAATAGAAAAACCAGTGAAAATCCTGAAGTGGTGAAATCACGAACCCATAACAGCATGCCCCTTTTCCGTCTAGGTTCCCCCCCCCCTCCCTATCGAGTAGATAGTGAAAAAATCATGAAAATCTTGAAGTGGTAAAAATTGTTAAGCCCATGAAAGAGCTCCGCCCTCTTTTTTTTTTTTAATTTATTATTATTATTATTATTATTATTATTAGTATTATTATTATTAAAGGGCGACGACATTGAGATATCATCATCATCATCATCATATGACTGATCGGCCGCAGGTCATTGAGAAAGAGTTTCCCGGTTCCCAGCACGTGCTGCTCCCCACGAATAAATTGGAGCCTTGTCGCCATTATAAAAGAAAGAAAAAAAAAAAGAAAAAGAGAGAGAGTTTGTTCTTTTCATCTGACAGTAACTGGATTCGAACGTGGGTCCGTATTTCAACAGTTCATGGGTGTACCAACTGAGCCTACCCGTCTTCACCCGAATATAACGCCCGGGCATTATAGCCGTATTTGGAGCCATTTTCTGTCCAGATGCAGCGGCGATAATGACCGGGTGTTCTATTCGGGTGAAGACTGTTATCCCATCGGTATACCTTCCCTTTTTTTTCAATGTCCAAACCATTGAGTAGAGGCAGGCAGTGAAAGGTCCTCCTCGCTAACTACTGTGAAACGGAAAACGAATGCATGCATCTTCCCGCCGAGAAGGGCCAGATGCATCCGTTACTATGAATAGCAATGAATGCTTCTTACCAATTTTCTGCGGCAGATGCATTGCTTCTCTTTTCGTTTCGACAGTGGTTTGGCGAGGCCCCAAGTCATGATGAAAACACTGAAATGGTGAACATCGCATGTACACAATATATATGCAATGAACCCAGATCGTGAAGGAAGTTGTCAACAATGCAAGTCCAAATGAGTGTCAACCAGCTGATGATTATCAATAATCGTATTCGTGTCCAGATACCCAAGAGAAGAGAAGACATACACAGACGAGGTAGAGGAGAGGGAGGAAAGACTTAGAGTGGGGAAGATAAAAACAATGTCCACTGCTTCTTCGGGCTCCCTCCGCAATCACCACCTCAATAATCAATAATCTGAACGAGTATCTGAAGTAACCTTAATGTGCCACCTGACACGTCTAATCAGTCCCTCATCAATGCTGGAGCAATGTCAACATGAAGACAACCAGGTAAGTATCCACGATCTCTCCACAGTCTTGATCTCCTCTTGAATGACGATAATCAGAACAGCAACACAAATCACATAGCTTCGCCTCGTCAACCAGTAGCGCATGTGGCAGCAGCCACGTCAGCGACAGCGCATGGCAACTGCCACGTCAGCATGCCAAGAAGACAGGTGCAAGCCAGCCACCATGTGGGACCAGCAGCGCTTCGCCGTAGACCCAATGCTAGCACAGAGCCAGCGCTCAGCCAGCTTCGCAGCGTCGAGCCAGAGTTGTCGTCTGTCGTCAACGCATGAAGACAGCATCGACGTAAGACAGAATGATGCCAAAGCCAGGAAAGTCAGCGCTTATGTAGCGTTGACTCGGGGTCTGGGCCCCGGATGTTACCACCCTCAGCCGTCCAGATTTTGATGCAAACTAAGGCCCAGGTTGGTCTGAAACTGAATTCGCTCCGGCCTGGATGCTTGTCTGGGTACCTGCGCACAACAAGTGAGTGTATCCAACCAAGGGCCTGGGTGCGGTACCTTTGACTCTACAGTTGACTTTGACCCTTGAATTTCCTGTGTGCAGCATTCGGTCACATAGCCAAATGTGACAGACTCAGGCCTGGGCGTGTCTTGGTCACACAGCCCATCGCAAACCAACTCAGGTCTGCGTTACCTGGGGTTGAGTTCTGGGCCCCAGGCTACTTCTGAATAGGGTTACCGCATTCCTGCCGGCCCATTTTCGAGTTCCACCGCAGAAATATTTAAGACTTCAACCCTCGTTCATAAGCAACGACAATATCAGGAGCAGCTTCAATTAGTTCTCGTTTACTAAACCATCTGTCCTCAGATGGTGCCTGAGACTTAAAACGTACCTTAAACTGCTTTTGAGGTCGTCCACGTCCTCCCGTAGAGAAGTAACCATACTCTATGATTTTGTCTACCTCGTATCCGCCGTCCATGTCTGGTGGAATCATAAAAGGTCTATGTGGAAACTCATTTCCTTCTACATACGGTAACAATTTGGACGCGTGAAAAACAGGGTATGTTTTGAGATGAGGGGGAATATCAACTCGATAAGACGGTCCCTCTGCATCCCCAATTACTTTCAGAACTTCCCAGGGTCCAAAATAAATAGAAAGCAATTTATGGGACACATCTTCTTCTAATGAAAACTCTTTAGATTTTACCCAGACCATATCACCCTCTTCGACTGTAGACGGTCGACGATGCCTATTAGCTTGTTCAATCATCCGTACTTGAGATTTCCTTAGATTATCTTTAACTTTCTGAATGTCCTCCTGGAACAGTATTGCATATTATCGGGTCCCTGGGGGCAACCTAAGGAACCGGTCCCAGTTTAGTACATCAATGAGACGTTTAGGTTTTCACCCTTTGTGAAGTGCATTCGGGGTTCGTCCAATGAAAGTGTGGACGTTGTTGTTATATGCACTAGCAATTTTGGGTAAGTTTTTGTCCCAATCAATCTGATCGGTCTAACATATATACGCAAAAGTTGTTGGCACAGACGGTTCATCTGTTCAGTCTGGCCATTCGTTTCGGGATGCCTCCTTGACGACATGGTCAACCGTGTGCGATAAACTTCCATAAACTTTTGTCATGGCAGACTGGTGAACCTGACATGTCGATCAAACACAATGGATTTAGGAAACCCATACTCGGTGACCCATCGCATCTGAAATTTCTGAATGACAAGTTCAGTACGCGCTTCTGCAGGTAAGGGGACAAACATAGCGTATTTAGAGAAACGGTCCACAATTACTACCATCACTTGACTATTACCATTGCGACTTTTAACCAGACTCATGAAGTCAATTGAGATAGACTCACCTGATTCGCTTGGTATAGGTAATGGCTTAAGAAGTCCAATGGGATTCTCATGCGATGACTTGTTTCTCGAACACACTAAACAAGTATGAACATATGTTAGTACATCTTCTTTAAGTCCCTTCCATTCGAAACGTTCTCTGACTTCAACATATATTTTTTTTAAACCAAAATGACCCTCAGAATCATGACATTGCTCAATTAACATACTATTAATCTTTTCCTTATGAGGAATATACAATTTTTGTTCGGTTTGATCAATCAAGAATAACAACCCATCAGTCAGTCTATAGTTGGGTAGTTGGGACAAATCTCGTACAAAAATATCCATGATTGGTTTTCAGATAGGATCAGTAGCATATCCTTGGCGAATCTGATCTTTCAGGTCATTCCCAACATCTAAGTAAGAGACAATTGCACCAAAGAAATCATTGCGTCGGGACAAAACATCTGCAAATAGTCTTGAGTTCAATGTCAACGATGTCAATGAATGCAAACCATCTTACCAACTTGTCAGAGAGTCTAGCCTGTGTTTTTATCCACTTTAGGGTTGAGTGGTATGAATACACAGTAAAGTGTCTCCCTAATAGGTAGTGCCTCCATGTGTCCAACGCAAAGACTAAGGCATAGAGTATTCTTTCATACGTGGAGTTGGCGACTTTGTCATACGACAATCGTTTAGACATAAATTCTATGGGCCTATAGCCCTTGCTGTCATCTTGCTGGAGAACAACGCCAATCCCATACTGACTTGCATCAGTGGTGACAATGAAATACAAAGATGAGTTAACAATCTTAAGGACAGGGTAGTGAGTCAGTGCATACTTCAATTTTCGAAAGGAGAACTCACAATCCTTATCCCACAACTAAATAATTTTTTTCTTTAACAATCTTCGCACTGGTGCAACAATCAGTGAGAAGTTTCTGACAAACTTCCTATAATAACTAGCTAGACAAAGGAAAGATCGCAATTCGGTAATAGACTTAGGTTGTAGTCAATCTTTAATTGCTGATATTTTTTTCTCTTTCAGCCTTAAACCTTCTTCGTTTACTATGTGTCCTAGGTATAACACTTCGGACTTAGCAAACTCAAACTTCTTTAAGTTTATTTTAAAATTGCCCTGACGCAACTTCCCTAGCACCAGGCGAAGGTGCTTCTCATGATCCTCTAGTGTTTTACTACACACTAGAATATCATCGAGATAAATAATGACGAACTTATCAAACCATTGACGAAACAAATCATTCATTGACATTTGAAAAGTGGCAAGGGCATTCGTTAATCCGAAAAGCATTACCACGAACTCATAGTGACCATACCTAGTCCTGAAAGCGGTCTTATGCTGATCGGAGGGTTCCACCTCGATCTGGTGATACCCAGATTTCAAGTCGATCTTGCTAAAGTACCTGCATTCCTGTAACTGGTCAAGTAAGTCGTCAATGCGAGGAAGCGGTTCAACATAACAGTGACGACATTCAACCCTCTGTAGTCTATACAGAGACGTAACTCACCTTCCTTCTTAGGTACAAACAATACAGGAGCACCATTTAAAGAGGAGCTAGGGCGAATCCATCCTTTTTCTGTTAAGTCTTGCAATTGTTTTCTTAATTCCTCAAGTTCCCTAGCAGATATTCGATAAATAGGGCCCTTAGGAATCATAGTACTAGCAATAATTTCAATGGTGTGATTAATTGCACACTCAGTTATTCCTGTTAGTTTAGTTAGTATTTTTTTATACTCGTTTAAAAGTTTTTCAATCGAAGAAGGATAGGAAGTAGAAGACTCAAATGCTTTCTTTACTAAGACCATAATTACTTCCTGTCTCAACCATCGATCGAAATGCTGGATAACTCATATAACAGAAAAACAGACTGGAGTCAGAGCCAGACTTATGATACAGTTTGATAGGTTTCAATTCAGAGTGTGCATCTCGCAGTAGCATTACCTTTTCCTTAAACTTGATTTCTGGGTTGGCTTCCTTGTGCCAGTCCATTCCCAGAATCAAGTCAAAGGGTAAATTCTTTTCTACAAGGAAGGATAGCTCGTGAAGAATATTATTCCCTTCCTTGGTGCGAAATCGACATTTGACACGATGAACACATTGCGAGATAGTGATCGTGCGTCTGTCAGCGAGAATAGACGTGATAGGTCGAGACAAATCTTTTACCTTCATTCTGAGATGCAACTTGCGAGCTGCCTTCTCGGATATGTAGGATCGCGTTGATCCTGAGTCCAACAATGCACTTACACGTATATGTGCAATCTCTACATCCGCGAGTAGTAGGTCACTTTTAGACTTCGATTTCTTAGCCCACGAGCTTCATAACGCTAGCAACTCGTTACCAAGCTCGTCAAGAGAGTCGTCCAGAGAGACAGTACATAAGACAGGTTCAGGGTGTTCCAGACGATGGACCAAAGAAGAACTGTCCTCTGCCATGTGAGTCCAAGGGTTGAAAGGGTTAGTAGGCGTCTTACCTTCATCTTGATCCAAACCCTTAGACTCAGTAGGAGTAGATGTTACTCCTACTGACGGCTCGCTTTTGAGTTACGGATAAGTGGGCACCATGCAATCACATGTTCTGGGGTACCACACTTCAGACACTGCGCATTATCCATTCTTTCCTGCCATGTTTCTTGTGACATTCCCATATTTTCCCATAGCTTCCCGACCGCAATCCCGGGATGCTCTAGGAACGAGCGTGGCTTCTTCTTCTTTACTGGCGGTCGTGGTCCTCCCTTGTTGACCACGACAACAGTGACTTCCCCCTTCTCGGAATCACTGTTGCTCGCCACACCCTCGACCTCCAATGACCACTTCTCCACAATATCGTCGTCAAAGACGACGATGGTGTGGTCCTGGCGCTTTTGACGCCAAAGTACCGCTTTCCTACACCTGCACCACCACCAAACTTGATAACAGATGTATAGGAGTCCTTAACTTGCGAGGTCATTTGCTCTCATTGGAGAGCCAAATCACGAAACTGCATATAATTGTACTTACCAGATTTCGATTCTGCCACGAGTTGTCCACGAATGAGTTCGGATAGAGCGTGGGAATAAATATACAAGACTTGGTTGTCTTGCAGGTTCAGTCCAGGAACCTGCAACAACATATCAACTTCCCGAGACAAAGCTTCTACCGAGGTCCAATGTTTTTGGCTAATGGTAGTGAGCTGGTCAAAAGCCTCGTCGGCCGTTGTCTCATCCATGAAGCGTACCTTGATCTTGCCAAGGAACTGAGTTAAAGTTGTAGCCCACCCCCCAATGTCATCGAACCCCGCTGCATTGGCCTCGACCAATATCCATTCCTTAGCTTTCCCCCCAAGACAAGAGGTAGAGAAAGCAACCAGGGATTCGGGTTCAACAGGGGTCGTACTGCAGTATGTTTGAATTTCGGCAATCCACAATAATAATTTTTTTTTTTTTTTTTTGCAGAACGTGAAAGGCAGTTTCATCTTTACGTTTTCTTTCTTTTTCGGTTTCTCCGGATCCGCACTTACCTTGACCGGTGACTTTCAGGAATCAGGAGACTTTGGAGGTGGGGAGGGAGGAGGAGAGCTCGGTGGAGAAGACGATGGACTCGGAGATCCTCCTCCATCAGACAACTTCTTATCTTTAGGAACAACGAACTTCATTGCGCCACTCATTAATTTCTTCTCTTCTTTCTTATCTTCCTTACTTTCTTCTTCTTTACCTTCTATCAGATTCTTCCCTTTCACAATATTTGTGACAGTTCGTAATCCTACAACAATCTCGTTTAACTGATTTTGTTGTCTCTCGATGTTTTCTTCCAAGAAGGTAAGGTAAGTCATGATGTGATACAATGTTTATGTTATGTCCGTCTGTTCCTTACCTTCTGTTCCTATTACCTGTCTGATTTCCTTTACTTTCTGTTCTCGTCTCAGTTCTTGTTCGTGTTTCCGGGCTAGTTTCTCTTTCTTCCTTTCTTCTGCAACCAACACCCCTCTTAATTGCTGGATGTTCGCGTCAATTGTAGCCTCGGTCACTTCTGGTCTGATTTTTCCTTTCCTAGATAACTCCATGACCTCTTCCAGCTGCTTGATAGCAAACTGGTCCAGCGCCTGTCGGCACTAGGCCATCATTTTAGACACTTCGACCCCGGTAGCCACAACTTCCGCGACCGTAATTGCTTGCTTCAGACGATTCTCTACCTTTTGCAAATCAAACAAATTACGAACGTGTCGTTCGGCGTCCGGTCCGGACAGATGCAACTCATTCAATTGCTGGTTCCATAGAGCCAGTAACTCTTGTTTCTTTGTCTCTGCCTGTTTCCTTGTCTTGGGATAAGAGGACCCTTCACCCGCAAAAAACGTCATCTGAAAAAAAAAGCAAGAGTATTTTCCACATGCTAAACATCTTGGAGGTCAGGTTTGAGGAAATATTTGCAATAATGAAACAAAAAAATTAAGAGAAATAATAAAAAGGAACAGATCTCTAGTTATACTAATTGCTGTTTTTTTGTCTGTGTGATGACGTCCTATTCGAGAGTGTACAGGTACCACGTCAGGCCCATGTGATCAGATACAACACACAAGTAAGTATGCACAAACACAGCAAACGACAAGGTAAGTATGCCAACAACAACAACAAACAATTTGTCAGCACCCTTCTTCTTTCTGCTGAGTCAATCCAGGTGTCAATTGCGATGATGCATGACAGCTGGCACTACAGTTGTCTCGTCAGTCGTTCAATCAACCGTACCACCGTCGTCTTCGGAGTGCTTCTCTTACTTGGCAGCCACCTGCCTGCCACGTGTCACCCCTGGGAGTGCTAACATAGCAGATTCTGCCACGTCAGCACTAGTGTCCAGTCAATCAATAAAGGGATGCCACGTCAGCAATTGTGTGCTCTGTCCTTCCCACGTGCCACTTCCATGCGTCGTGTCGTGATATCGTCGCCGTTCCAACCAATTGGACAATGCCACGTCAGCCAATGGAGACCGATGCCACGTCAGCAGGAAATCAACACCTCAAGAAGACAGGTGTGACGACTTTTCCCCTGCCACGTCAGCAATCAGCCCTGACTCTCCCAAAGGCCACGCCAACTTCTGTAGCAGACCTGGTCACGCATAAGCTGCTAATGCAGCGTGTGAATGCCATGTTAGCAATCACCAACAACCAGGTGTTCTGACGTGGTACATGATATGCCACGTCAGCAAGGGATCGCGATGCCACTTCACTATCGCGATCCAGGCTGGCGCGCGGTAACTCTCGGTCGCGGTCCCTACTGCCAAGTAAGCAGCCACGTCATGATCTTCTCTCGCCAGTGAAGTCTCTACCACGTCAGCAACTCCAACAGTAACTTCTTGTCAGGTCATCACTACCTCAGCACACGTGTGCATGTCCACTTACCTGCGCGCCACCAGGCGCGTGCGCACGTGTGACTGTCATCGTCGTCAGGAGAACTGCTCCGATACCAAATTGCAATGAACCTAGATTGTGAAGACACTTGCCAACAATGCAAGTCCAAATGAGTGTCAACCAGCTGATGATTATCAATAATCGTATTCGTGTCCAGATACCCAGGAGAAGAGAAATACACAGACGAGGTAGAGGAGAGGGAGGAAAGACTTAGAGTGGGGAAGATAGAAACAATGCCCACTGCTTCTTCGGGCTCCCTTTGCAATCACCACCTCAATAATCAATAATCTGAACGAGTATCTGAAGTAACCTCAATGTGCCATGTGGCACGTCTAATCAGTCCCTCATCAATGCTGGAGCAATGTCAACACGAAGACAACCAGGTAAGTATTCACGATCTCTCCACAGTCTTGATCTCCTCCTGAATGACGATAATCAGAACAGTAACACAAATCACATAGCTTCGCCTCGTCAACCAGTAGTATACGTGGCAGCAGCCACGTCAGCGACAACGCATGGCAGCTGCCACATCAGCATGCCAAGAAGACAGGTGCAAGCCAGCCACCATGCCGGACCAGCAGCGCGTCGCCGTAGACACAATGCCAGCACAGAGCCAACGCTCATCCAGCTTCGCAACGCCAAGCCAGAGTTGTCGTCAACGAGTGAAGACAACATCGACGTAAGACAGAATGAATGTCAAAGCCAGGAAAGTCAGCGCTTATGTAGCGTTGACTCGGGGTCTAGGCCCCGAATGCTACCACCCTCAACCGTCCAAATTTCGATGCAAACTAAGGCCCAGGTTGGTCTGAAACCGAATTCCCTCCGGCCTGGATGCTTGTCTGGGTACCTGCGCACAACAAATGAGTGTATCCAACCAAGGGCCTGGGTGCGGTACCTTTGACTCTACAGTTGACTTTGACCCTTGAATTTCCTGCGTGCAGCGTTCGGTCATACAGCCAAACGTGACAGACTCAGGCCTGGGTGTGTCTTGGTCGCACAACCCAGCGCAGACCAACTCAGGTCTGCGTTGCCTGGGAATGAGTTTTGGGCCCCAGGCTACTTCTGAACAGGGTTACTGCATATATATATATATATCATCACAAACAGAATATATATATATATATATATATATTCTAAGACTCCGACGAAACAGTTTGTCACAACCCCTCGTTTGTTGTCCTCTTCTCCTTCTCTGCCTACGGTTTACCGGGCAGTTCTATTTGACGATATATATATATATATTCCATGGTCGCCACCTTCTTATGCATCATGCGACGCCAGGCAATGACCTCAATAACCATCCTCATATTTCTGCCTGTATTTTACACAGAGCCGAGCATTATATGGCACTCATTCGTGCAGCTGCCTAGTGGGAACTGTGGGATAGTGGGACGATGATTCAGGCTATTTCCAACGTAAACGAGTTTTTGGGTGCATTGCTGAATCATACTTTATTCTGCATTATTGACCGACTCTCGTGTGACACCTGTCTTGGCAGAGACTCGGTCCGTCTTGGTTGTGGCATTCATCATCTATGCCATCACCATTATCAATCTATTGCGACTACCACTGTCTGTGCTGAAGGGTGTCCAACATTTCCTCATTGTACACATCCCTATCACCCAGATATATGTTGTCCCTTTTGTGCCCAAGGACGCTATCAGAACTGCATGATGCCGCACTGTGATGAACGTCCTGCTGTTCTTTTGACATGTGGACAACCTGTCCTCTGTCAGGACTGTTTTGATGGGATGGTTTGTGCTTGCCGTCCTGCTGAATGTTGTGTTGGCGCAACTCTCCTTGGATACCTTGTGAGGACCCAATCTGTGAGGGACCCAATCGTTTCAAGGCGATTGAGGGAGGGGGAGCCCGCAGAGCGGCGCGCATACCGAATTGTTCACAGCGCGCCAAGAAACGAAGGAGCGTGGCCACGGGGCCGAGCGGCGGCGGGCGTCGATGAAAGGGTATATCTGGAAGCGCCCGCTGTCGGATAGGAAGGACGCCCCCTTTTTTTTTGGTTTAATTTGCAAACTGCGTTTTTAATTTTTTTTGGTTTTCGTAATTGCGTTTTTATTTATTTTTTCTTTGCATTTTTGTTTTTCATTTCCCTTTTTTCAATTTCCAACTCGGAGTTTTCCTTTTTTTTTGTGGCGGTTTCTTTTCAGTTTTGGGCGGGAAGAAAACGACAAGTCGAAAAGAGAATAGAAGTCGCGGAGGGAGGGAGGCGGGCGGGAAAAGGAAAAAGGACAGGCGGACAGCCGTGGTGGGGAAGCACCCCACCCCACCGCACACATACCTGCACCCGACCCCACCCCACACACCTGCACCTGACCCCACCCCACACACCCACCCACACACACACACTAATATATATGTTGGTTTTGAAGCTTGCTTGGAGCGGTTGTGGTTCGAACTCACATACAGATTTTGAAATACCCAACTGCCCACTGAGATAACCGCTCAGGCAGATTGGGTCCCTGTCTGCTTTTGGGGATTGTTTTGTTTTGAAGTG